GATCCTTGGGGTTTGAGAAATTGGGGGAGAGGAAAGGAAAATTCAGATTGTTGTCGATGGGAAAGGGTTGAGTGCAACCCCTCCACTGGGCGAGTTATCAAACTCCATCTTGATGACGTGTCTGGTTGGCAGAACTCATATCTTAATGCCTCTTTGTTTCTCCCATTTGAGGAATTGAAGAGTCTCAGTTTGGCTGACAATGGAATAAATAGTTTCATTGAAAATGAAGGTTTTTATCTATTGACACACCTTTCAACTTAATTATGTGGTTATCAAAACATATTTGAATATACATACAAGTAAATTCATTTCATTCTTATTCTCCTATAAATTATTTATTTGTTTTTTTTCTTTTTAATTGTAGCAAATTGAACAATTCCTCTTATATGTTTGCAGATTTCCATAGGCTTTCAAAGTTGAGCAATTTGGAATTCCTTGACTTGAGTTGGAATGAATTCAATAGCAAAATTTTGTTATCTTTGAGTGAGCTTTCATCTCTCAAGTCTCTAAATCTTGCAGAAAACAACTTTCAAGTGTCAAACCATACTAATGGTACAATTTGATGAATTTCTGCTCATCTTTGGTTTATGGGAACCCATTTCCTTATTGTTTCCTCTTGCAATTTAAATTTTTTTACTCTGAAAATTGAATCTATAATTAACTTGTATAAATTGCAACAAATTGTATTGCAGGTTTTAAAAGGCTTTCTAAGTTGAGGAGTTTGGAAATCCTTGATCTTACTGGCAATTACTTGAATAATAATATCTTAACATCTTTGAGTGATCTTCTATCTCTTAAATCTCTAAATCTAACCTACTGCAACTTAATGATAGCATCAAATCACATGGAGGGTAAGATTTTAACTTATTGTTGTTATAAGTTTACCAAATTTGATGCAATATTGATTATTTTAATTAAAGACATTATGCTTTGATTTGTTAATTTATAGCAGCTAATTTTGAAAGCCTGTCAAGACGCAGCCACTTGGAATTTCTTGACTTAAGATCCAATATAGATTTGAACAACAACGTACTACCATATCTGAGTAGTCTTCTATCTTTGAAAACTCTTATCCTGTGGAATTGTGGACTAAACGGGACTTTGAGTAGTAGACGTAATTCAATTTGCTTTCTTCCCGTTTTCATTTCTATTATAATTTTCTCTTAAAAAGATGTGTTGTATTGTAATATTTTATTGAAATTAAAAATAGTTTTCCTTCATTTGTTTTGATGGTGAACTTGAACAGAACTCAACCAATTCATCTTTGGTGCATGGGAGACCATTTCCTTTTTGTTACTCTTGCAATTTATATTTCTTTTATTCTCAAAATTGAACCTATACTTAACTTGTATGAGTTGCAAAAAATTATATTGCAGGTTTCATGAGGTTTTCTAATTTGAGGAATTTGAAAATCCTTGATCTAAGTGACAATGACTTAAATATTAATATCTTAACATCTTTGAGTGAGCTTCCATCTCTCAAGTCTCTGAGTTTGAGAGATTGCAACTTAATGATAGCATCGAACCATAGAGACGGTAAAAATTTAACAAATTTTATTATATTTTTATTAGACATGATATAATATTGATCATTTTAAATAAAGACTTTATGTTCTGAAATTTTAACTTGTAGAAGCTGATTTTGAAAAGCTGTCAAGATTTCGCCATCTGGAATTTCTCGACTTAAGTGATAATATGGACTTGAACAACAACATTCTATCATATTTAAGTAGTTTTTCATCTCTAAAAACTCTAATCTTGTCCATTTGTGGACTAAATGGCACTTTGAGTACTAGAGGTAATTAAGCTTGCTTTCACCCGTTTTCATTTTTATTATATCTTTTCCCCTAAAAAAGTTGTGTTATCCTATAATATTTTATTGGAATTAAACATATTTTTCATTCTTTTATTTTAATGATGAGCTTAAACAGAATTGAGTAATCTGAGAAACTTAAAGGTGTTAGACATAAGTTCTAACGACATTGAAAGCCTCGAATCTTCCCAAGGTACATATATTTAATTTGTTTCCTAAGTTAATATTTAATATTAACAAAATTGGTTGTAATGAGATCATATATTTTTGGCAGATGAACAAAATTTGAGGTTTGTCCATCTAGAGGTCCTTGATTTGAGTTCTAATCTCTTCAACAATAGTGTGCTATCTTCCGTCAATGAATTTTTAAATCTAAAATCTCTAAATATAGAAGATAATAATCTAAAAGGATTAGTAGATGTCACAAGTAAGTTGAGGCATACTTTAAGCGTTTTTTCTTTCTTGCTAAGACATT